AAAACTGTATAAATAAAATAATTTTACTGTTTCACTTGTTTTTATTAACTGGACTCGGATTAGGGTCCCGGATGGGGCCAAAATCAGTTATTGGCTTTTTGAACCAGATTGCATCCAGAATCTCTGACATAGGTATATTCGAGATAATGCTAGCCAGATTAGTTCTGAAGGCAGGCGTAAAACCATATAACAATCAGCTGCGCTTGTGTCACACTTGCTAGTGAAAAATAACACTTATATATTCCACCAAATCTAAGAAATATGTACTTTTGACTTTCACATTAATCATTCCGCAGTAACTTTGTTCAGCGACAGTATCCTAGTGGCAGGGCGCGGACCGCGAACTTAAAAGGTCGCGGGTTCGAATCCACCATTCGACTACTGTCGTGAACCAGGCCTAACACAAGCATTTTTCAGCTTACCAGGAGTGGTTAAAGGGAATATTAGTAAGGTTAATTAATAGGATTACTAATATTTTTATAATATAAAAAAATGGTACTCACACGCTTTAAAATCTTTTCACGTAAATCCAAGAAATTATTAAGTTACTTATGAATTGTTATAGATATAACCTCTGTGTCAGTCATGGTCACCTGCCGGATGCAATGATGATGACGGTGGTCGTGCCTATAGTGAAGAACAGGACGGGCAATGTAGCGGATAGGTCCAACTACAGGCCTATATCCCTAGCGACAATCGTGGCTAAAGTTCTGGACAGTCTGCTTGATACACATTTAAAGAAAGCTACTAAAATTAACGACGCTCAATTCGGCTTTCAGCCCGAATTGTCTACCGAGAGCGCAATAATGTGTCTCAAGCAGACTGTACGGTACTACACTGACAGGAAAACGCAAGTGTATGCGTGCTTCTTGGACCTGTCAAAAGCATTTGACCTTGTCTCGTATAAAGTACTATGGCATAAACTTAGGACGGAAACGAGCCTAAGGCCGGAACTGTTATCGTTGTTGCAGTACTGGTACGGTAACCAGTCTAATGTAGTAAAATGGGGAGACGCTATGAGTGACCCCTACAAGCTGAACTGTGGAGTAAGGCAGGGTGGGCTTACGTCACCGAGGCTGTTCAATCTTTTTGTCAACCAGCTGATAGAGGGGCTGAGCAGAGCTGGTGTCGGATGCTCAGTTGATGGTGTCTTTATAAACAACATCAGCTATGCGGATGACATGGTTCTGCTTAGTCCTTCGGTCAGTGGCCTCCGGAAGCTACTTAAAATATGTGAGGACTATGCTGAGAGAAATGGACTCAGATACAACGCCAAAAAAGAGCGAGTTCCTTGTGTTCAGGGGAAAAAACAAACCCACCAATTTTCAGCCAATCATACGATTGTGTGGTATTCCCCTGAAACAGGTGGCGGAGTTCAAATATCTCGGCCATATAGTTAACGAGCGCCTCGTGGACGACGGTGATATAGAGAGGGAGCGAAGGGCGCTGTCGGTCCGGGGCAATATGTTGGCCCGCAGATTTGCGCGTTGTAATGCAGAGGTAAAATTAACGCTGTTTAGAGCCTACTGCCAGACTTTTTACACGTGCAGTCTGTGGGCGGACTATACGCAGCGGACCTTCAGAACTCTTCGTGTGCAGTACAACAATGTGCTGAGAGCGGTATTGGGGAAGCCACGTCACTGCAGTGCATCTGCAATGTTTGCGGAGGCTCGTGTAGACGACTTCTACGCGATCTTCCGGAAACGTGTTGCATCCATGATGGGCCGTTTAGTGAACAGCACCAATGCCCTTCTCAGCACTTTGGCGTGCAAACTCGACAGCCCACTCTGGAGGAGTTGGAATGGTGCACACACATATGCTAACAAGCGTGTGTGTACTTAATGTTAGTTAGTTAATCTTAGTAGTAGTTAGTAATTATATTTAATTTTAGTTAATTTTAATTTATTTTGATTTATTTTTAATTTATTTTCCTTTTATTGATTGATTTTTTCATTTTTTTTTTCTTCGTTTTGTTTTGTTTTTTCTTTTCTACTAACCAAATATGGACCCTGGTCTGAAATAAAGATTTATTATTATTATTATAGAAAATCATGTAATCAATAATGTAAAAAACGATGATGACTCGACGACAGATCAATTAGTTGTAGTAAAGGTATTAAATAAATATTAATCTAGTGCAGTCTATAAGTATTAACTTTATCTCTAGAAATAAGCAGTAAGCAACAAATATGAAAAAGAAAGTTGATAAATTTTGTGCTTTGAGTTAGGTATCTGTTTCTTATTTATTCTGGTATTATCTAAATAAAGCTATAAATGATTACCAACTCTAACTAATCGATATCTCGAATCGATTATTGTGGGTAACGATTTTTCAGTTGGAATATTGTCTAAGTTTCTAATTGCCTTGTTCAATAAATGTGACAGCTATAAAAAGATATTTCTTAGATTTGGTAGAGTATAGCTATTCTATATATCCACAGGGTGTTGAAATCTTTTACGCTAAGATAAAGGTGAGAAACGAGCACAGGCGGCCATTCTGCCATTTGCGCGGGACAGGATCTTAGTGCACGAGTGTTATGATGGTACAGGTGCATCTATTTCCTCACTCTCATAGTCCGATGGGACGGTAAGCACGACCGGAGTGAGATCAGGCGCAGGACCAACGGCTTTACGTGCTCTCTGAGGCGTGGGGTTGAGGCACCACCAACTTCCTGACTCCGTGCTGCTACTAAGAATTTCTTGATAGAGAAAACTAGTTTGAACCCTCATGACCAGCCACCACATTCGTGACCACAAGATCAACGAGGCACAGCACAAATTACATCCGATGTGGCTGTGACCCTTAGACATCTAAAACTATCCTCGATTAAGAATCAAGATTCAGATTATCACTTCTGGCGACTGAGATGGAATGCACGAATGCATCGTTACCAGTAAAAAGGGCTCCGGTTCTCGTCTTACCATACGAAACACAACAACATTGGGCTGCTTTTTAAGCTGACATTCTGTGTGAGCGTGGTCTTCCCCCTGACCAGGCGACCGCGCTGCAGCCATTAGACGTGTTGTCACCTCTTAGGATATATTTAACATGTCGGTAAATACTGACTCCATTCCCTTAAAACCAGAACCCAATGTGGACGCACTCTAATAAAATAATTTTATTAGGAAGAATTGTGTCCAGTGTATTTTCAAAAAAGAATTATTCTCGTCATAGAGAGTTGTAAGTCTAAAAACATGCGTCAGAGTTATTTTTCATGTCGAACACAACTATTATTTTAAGCTAAAATACTTTATTTTAAGCGTTATTATAATGGAATATAATATAGCCTTTAGTGCAATAAAAAGCCTAAATTACGATAATATTTTGTTTTAATATTAAAAAACAATACTATAAAATCATCATAACTGGCCACTTCAATTTCATTTTTTCCGTGAACATATTTGGTGAATTATGAACTTAAGTTCACTTAAGTACTCAAAGAGAGTATTATATTAATATACAAAATAATGCAAATGCATCTCTGCAATGCAATGTTATCTCTTTAATTTTTGCAAATTTAAGCTCTTTTTTAATTATTTTAGGAATATCCTTAATTATATTTTTTAGATTTATCCATTTTAATCTAATTACCTTTAAATAAAGCTAATATTTTAGAGGGAAATATTTACTTTTATATTTTTTAACAATTGTACTTCCCCTTTTTGAAATATGTCAATTATTTCTACGATAAATGATTTCAAAGTGGCGCTGGCCCTAATCTCAATTAGTCCACACAATCACCACGCAATACTAAACTAATTTAACGCTAGAATTGCTTATAAGAGTACGAAAGGTTATAAATTTAATCCCGATCGATAGGAATTGTTTTCAAGAGTAAGCCTGCTGGTGGCGGCTATGATTTTTAAGGAACTAACTTCTTGGCCGAAGAAAATCTCTTTTTTAAGGGCAGCAACGCATCTGTAATTTCCCTGGTGTTGTAGTTGTTCATAAACAACGGTAGACACTTACCATTAGGTGAGCCGCACGCTTGTTTGGCCTCTCTCATAAGAAAAATTGGCGGTGACACAGTACTGTGTAGTAAGGTAATAGTTTTTCTTGCGCCGTCATTATACGGCTTAGGTTTAGGCTTATTTTTTTTACCTAATAAAGGCGACGAACGAGCATACATACCACCTCGTGGTAAGCGAATACTTAGGCCCATTGATATCCTCATTTAATAATCAAAATGCGGATGCGATGTCACCCCTGAGGACTAATATAGAATGTTTCGTTTCCAGTAAAAATTTGTTCTCATACACCACCATAAGGAGCAGCAGCATTAAGCTGTTATTTTACGCTGGTATTCCGTGAGAGCGGACCCATTCGTGCTACAACCATAATATAACTGCAGCGTGGCTTTGCTGCCTTTAACTGTTTAGATAATAAACACTAAGTAATTCTGATCATATCCGTTTAGTTTTGCTCATTTTCCTCGTCGTATTTGATGATAATGTATTCGACTATTGTTATTCTGTGTCACGCTCGTATTTATCTCTGTGCGCGCCTTGCTACCAGGAGGAAAAACTTGTAGAATGGGTTTCGGGGATTTGTTTCACACAAAAGCAAAAATAGTTTTACAAAAATAGTGATGTAGATGCTGTAAATACTAGGACCAAGGAAAAACCAATTTGTATACCAGTTACTCAACTCCAAAGAGTCAGTAATTCCTTTATGGGGCAACTACAAAATTCCAAAAAATGCAGGACTTATAATATATCAGAAAATTTGAAATTTTTAACTCTGGAAATATGGTGACCGCAACCCTGCTGTTCCTAAATGTTTTCATACGAGTATTTAATTGTACAACAAGTAGGTATTTATTGTAATTTAATATTAAAAATAAAGTTTCTCGCTTAGTTTTCCTGTTGGTTCTTCCCATAATAGAGGTTTTTTCTGAACCAGTGGAAATATTTAAATGACTTTCAAATGCCTGGTGTTGATGAATGATGATTAAAATCATTTTGGAAATGTGTAATGTTAAATTATTTAATTTAATTACCTGGCGGTTGCCTGTCCACCAGGCCAGTAAAATGCCCAGAAGGGATCTTTGAAAGGGCTGTCCTCAACTGGCGCTGACCAAAGAGGGCAGGACGGTGTTATTAAACGGAGCGCTATCTCTGGAGTAAGATGCTGGCGGGATGCTACAGTGTGTCTTACGATCTGTGCCGTCAGGTTTTTCAGCATTTTCCCTGAAAAGAATTTGTGAAATTATTTTTGGTTACTGCTTTGTACGTGGAATCTGATAGTGCAATTGGTAATCCGCCGGTCAAACATGGACGTTACGGCAGTTGTGTGAAGAACAATTTTTTTTCGTATAGCATAATGATGACAATGAGCCGTGGTAGCTGAGATAGTTAGCGCTCGCTGTAAATGTCACAGTACTCGAGTAACCCGAGTTGTAAATTGCAATTTTAAGTGCTGATTTACCACGTGCCCGGCGGTGAAGGAAAACAATATGAGCAAAACCTGCATGTCTAAGAAATTAAAAAAAATATTTCGAAGACATGTGAAGTTCAACAATATATTCCGTTCACAAATAGTCCGACTAGGTAAGTCCAGCTTCGACCGAGAGGTCAATCGACGAGTTTTTAACGGATCAACTTTCAGGAGATTACGACACATCGTCTCGTCAGACATACCTCAAAACTAAATTTTACGACCACTGTGTGGCCAGTGATGACCTATCGATCTGAGACGTGGTCCTTCACTGCTGGCTATATGAGGAAGAACAAAATCGAACAGCGGGGTTTCTCTGCGTGATCAACTTAGGAATGAGGATATCCACAGTAAAACCAGAGTAACCGATATAGCCCAAAGGATTAGTAAGCTGAAGTAGAAATGGGACGGCTATATAGCTCGAGGAACCGATAACCGCTCAAGTAGCACACAAGCAATTTAAGCAGACACTGTATCGCTCTCTTGCTGTATAACGGCTGTTTAAGGAATTGTGTATCATTATTAACCTGTATATAGCAGATTCTCTTGAAAAGCAGAGTGATAGAGTAGCCGTTTAGTAGTGACGATAATGGCTTTGGAGATAAAAAAGGGGTTTGTAAAGCTTTTATACAGGCAATGATATAAAGCTGTGGTATAAATATACTTATTAACACTATGGGACCTAAAAGAGGAACAACGAAGATAAAGGCGCCTCAATTGAGTTATAAATATTTCATATAGTATTCAAGATTATACTTAGTTGTACTATGTAGTCTACAACTTTATAATAGATCTATAATAATCTTAAAACCACTTTTATCATATTGGAGAATTATATCTCAATAGAAGGGCCAAAAGTGCTATATTAGTGAAATATATCGTGTATATATAGCCACTGTCTACATTAGGCATGCCTCTTTCAGCGATATAGAAGTGGTCGAGAAGTTCTCTGGTGTCGGTAGGTACTGTAGCACTTACTTATGAAGGTAAATCCATTACATATACCTGTTAAGCAGCTATTGTAGCGCTTTGTTTTACCGCTTGTGTGCTACTTGGGCGATGGGGAAGAAAGGTTCTCGAGTGGCAGCCCGATACCGGCAGGCGAAGAGTGGGGCGTCCCCCCACTAGATGGAGTGAAGACCTGGTAAGACATGCAGGAAGTTGATGGATGCAGGTGAATCATGACCATGTATTGTGGCATTCCTTGGGGGAGGCCTATTTTTTATTGATGTATGTATGTGTGTTCATCGGTTAAGTAGGTTCAATCTCAAATCTTCTAAACTACTCATCTTAAATTGACAAATTAGATAAATTTGAAAGCATTGTGCCCTTTCGCGGGTTTTAATCTGCATGAAGTCACATAAAAATAACATGGCGGCTTATTGCGGACATGTAATGTAACCTAAAATACAGACAATATTAAAAAAATTATATCTATGAGAAAAACTAAAAACTAAAATTGTCATACATTCCTACTCTCCGTGGTATTGTGTCAAAAATTTTATTGTAATTGTGCCTTTACTCGCTGAAGAGCTATACTAATTAATATTGTTACGAGCTTGAGGTTCGTGGTAATAAAAATTGCCGATAAAGTTACCTAAATTAACGCTTTAATTTTCTTTACACAAATTAAAACTTAAAACACTAAAACACTAATAATTAATCACACTTTATTTTGCTCCGAAGCTTCGCTTGTCTCGCCAAATTCAATACTTCGATGTTGCAGCGCCTATAAATACACATTAGTACCGAAACATCCAGAACATTCAAGTAAATACGCGCACCAATCGACAAAGCGCCGAAAGTTCGAGTTTCAGCTTCTAGAAGCTTAGTTCTTCGTTTCGACAACAGATGGCGCTGTTGGTTGAAAGATTAGTAATGTCATTTTCTGGAAAGCTCTCTCGCTCTGTTACCCGACATTAGATGGCGCTAGTGCCAGATGTCAACTTAGCCGTGCAACACTGCCCCCTCCTAAGACATGCTCGGCCCGAGCATTATCGGACCCATAATAACGCGCCAGGCGATCCACATGGACGATCTTAGGAGTCCCTCTTGCGCCTTTCTGTATCCGGTAGGTTACATCGTTGATCCTGGTTACAATCCGGTAGGGGCCGTCCCATTTAGCTTGAAGCTTAGGAGATTTCCCTTTGCTGCGGACTGGATTGTGCAACCACACTAGTGAACCTTCGTCGAACCCTTTATTGTTCATTTTGCGGTCGTACCGGGTTTTCATCTTCTCAGATATTTGCTTGCCCGATTGTCTGACGTGCTCATAAATGTCATTCATTTTGTTCCGCAAGTCATTTGCATAATCGGTTATACTGCGTGGGGCATCAGGTGGTATCCCGGTGATCAGGTCTGCAGGCAGCCGTAATTCTCTTCCAAAGTTTGCGAAAGCTGGTGTCACTGCTGTACTTTCGTGAACAGCGCTTCGATATGACAACAAAAACGGTTGTATGTGCTTGTCCCAATCTCGTTGCCGATTGTCTACAACTTTTGCTAGGTACATCTCCAATGTCTGATTAAATCGTACCACCATTCCATCAGATTGCGGTTGATAAGAAGTCGTTCTTGTTTTATGAGTACCCATAACTTGGTAAGTTTCCTGGAATATTTGAGACTCAAAATTCCTTCCTTGATCGCTGTGAATCTCTAAAGGTACTCCAAAACGACAGAAGACTTCATGAACTAGTTTATCTGCAACTGTTGAAGCTTCTTGATTTGGAATGGCGAAGACTTCCGGCCACTTAGTGAAGTAATCCATCACAACCATAAAATACTTGTTACCGCTTTCACTCTCCGGAAACGGCCCCGCCACGTCAATGGCTATTCTTTCCCATGGTGCACCAACATTGTACAACTTCAACGCACCTCTACTACGAGTCTGAGGTCCCTTTACAGCAGCACAACTTGTACATTTGCGACACCAGTCCTCGACATCGTTTCGACAGTGGACCCAGTAAAATCGTTCTCGGATCTTCAGTAGAGTTCGTTTAACTCCCAGATGGCCTCCTGAATAACCATTATGGTACAGCTGTAGAACATCCAGTACTTTAGCTTTAGGGACAACCATTTGCAAATGACAGCTGTCTCCCCAAACATTTTCCCATTTACGGCACAGAACTCCATCCTGAAGCAGCAAGCTGTCCCACTGGGCCCAATAGCTTTCTTTCCGGTTTTGACAACGACTTGCTGAAGTACGCTATCACAACCTCTCGATCACCGTTCCGTTGAGACAACACACCGCCGAGCCCTGTATCACTTGCGTCTGTGTAAACTATAAATTCTTTGCTTGCATCAGGGTATCCCAAAATAGGTGTTTTGCACAGACGGTCCTTGAGCTCCTGGAATGGCCAGCAGAAATGTCGCTTCTCCTCGGTTAGCTTATGCAGAGGTTTGGCTATATCTGCAAAGTTCTTCACAAATCGCCGGTAGTAGGAGCACAAACCCAAAAATGCTCTAACCTGCGTCTTGTCTTTTGGAACCGGCCAATCCTTGACAGCGGCGATTTTCTCTGGATCCGTGCGGATACCTTCTTCCGATACTACATACCCCAAAAAGTTAACTTGCCGTTTAAATAGTGAACATTTCTTCGGACACAACTTGAGGTTGGCACTCTGAATCTTCATGAGCACGCGTTCCAGGTTTTGAAGGTGTTCCTCAACGTACGGCCCACGATGATGATGTCTTCCAAGTAGACCAGACAGGCATCGCCAATTAGCACCGGTAAGTACAAGCTCCATCAGTCTTTCAAACGTCCCTGGAGCATTGCACAATCCAAACGGCATTACTTTAAATTGCCACAGACCCTTTCCCGTCGAGAACGCAGTTTTCTCCTTGTCATTAGGGTCAATTTCAACTTGCCAGTAGCCACTTTTTAGATCCAGCGTGCTAAACCACTTTACTCCTGTAAGCATGTCCAGCGTGTCATCAATTCTTGGCAAGGGATAGCTATCCTTCTTCGTAACGTCGTTCAGACGGCGGTAGTCAACACAAAACTGCATGCTGCCATTCTTCTTCTTTATCAGCACCACTGGTGAACACCATGGACTAGAGGAAGGTTCAATAACACCATCCTTCACCATTCCTTCAATCATGGTTTCCACTTCCTTTTCACGTGCTACCGGCAATCTTCTTGGCCGCTGACGGATAGGCAATTCTTCTCCTGTGTTTATTTTGTGTTGAACTAAGCCAGTCTTTCCTATGTCAGCATCGTTTGATGAGAATACATCGGCGTACTTGAGTAACAACTTCTTCGCCTTGACCAGTTCGTTCGGGGAGAGAACACTGCGACAGTCTTCCAAAAGTGTGGTCACTCTCGTTTCTGAATCCTTGCTGGGGTTCCCACTCGATATTATTGGCACCGACGTAACCAGTCCACTTCCTCACAAGTACCAACCAGTGTGCCTTTTTCTATAATCTGTTCCCAGTCACAAAGGTTCAGCACACGTACTCCTGAGATGTCAGTGGTCCTGACCAAGGTTTGAGCTACTTTCCACGGAATGTCATTGTTTACCCTTTCCACAAGTACACAACGGTGAGCTTGCCCAGCGTTTCGAGGAAGACTAACCGGAACAATCGTTTCCGATCTCGGCGGAAGAACAATCTTCTTAATGCTGTACACGTTCCCTGGTAACGCACCTTCCATAAAAAGTTCCTTCTGTCCACATTTCAAAAAACCTTGCTTAACGTCGATCTCACAACAATTATTCCTCATAAAGTCTAGGCCTAGGATGCAGTCGTCCATTATATC